AGGGCAGGGGCTGCTCCAACTTGCTTCTGTTAAGCACACATTTGAATGGAAAGAGCATCCCACTTTGCTGCTAAAATTGATGAAGGGGGCTTGAGGGCTTCCTGCCCACCTGTCCCAGGCTCTGCACTCGCCTATTGAATCTGGGCCCAAGTGAGAGGCCAGGTTTCCGTGGAAGGGAGCAGACCAGGTGAGGGCTAGTACATGCAAGTGCACGTCCCAAGTCCTCAATCTTGGTGGTAACTTGAGGTCAACTGGCACGTTGAAAGAAGAATTGTTGGCACTGAATGTGGGAGCAGAGGGGGCTGTGAGGTGGAGGTCTGACCCCTGTAGAGGCAGGCTGGGTGGTGCCTGTTAGAGACACCAAGTCGGCTGCCCTGGCATGAATGGTCAAGGTTGAAGAGTGTTTCTGGTGGGATATCTCAGGTACCATCACAACAGAATTACCTTCTCTACACTCAGCCCCTGGGAGTTGTAAGTTGGGAGACCCAGGTTGTGACTGTATCTACCAACGACCTCAGCCTCCTTTCTCTCTCAGTGTAAGCTCCAGGAGGGAAGGGGTTGGTCTGCTTTGCTCACTACTTTATCTGCTGTGGCTGGAACAGGGAGGCGTATAGCAGGTGCTAGTAGGTATTAGCTACAGGCAGGACTCTCCGAGACCGTAGGAGGGGGCAGTCGAGGAGGGATCTAGCATATTGAAGGATTGGGGGTGAGGGGAGGGGGCCTGGGTCCTCAGATGCTGTGCCCAGGGCTCTGTGCATTAGGCCAGCCTGCTCTAGGGGATGACCCGATCCCCTGTGCCCCCTCCACCCTGCCCTCCTCTGGCCCCAGCCTGGTTGGAAAGCTCCTTGGTGCATCCCGCACACTTAGAAGGCAGGTCTCTAGGCCATCCTCCCCTTCTCCCCAACCTCAAGCCCTGGTTGCCACCCTGGCCCAGTAGCCTTGAAATCCACCAGAGCCAAGGGCCTCAGGGTCCCTCTGAGATGGGAGAGGCCATCCTAAGCAGAAGGTGCCAGGAACGGGGAAATGGAGGAGTCTGGCCTTCCCAGCCTTGGTCACCAGAGCACATACCAGGCTTTGGAATCCACCACACCTTAAACCTCAAGAAGACTCCTCCCAGACAAACGCAACAATACAGGGTTGGAAAGACTCAGGAGATTTGGAGAACAAAGAGGGATGCGTTAATAAGGCTCTTCCTGAAGTTAGACTACCTGTGCCAGGTGAATTCTCCCATCCTATGTAGGTGTGAGGAGGCAGGGCAGGGGAAAGGACGCACCCCAACCCTCAGGGGTCACCTCAGAGGTGACCCCTGACCATCAGGAAGCCAAACAGGTGGGAAAGGATGCCAATGTGCAAGCCAAGCACAGGCCTGCTCAGGGAACGGGGGTGAAGGTCCTCGGCACAATTTATTTGAGAAGGCTTCTCAGGGGAGAGTTCAAAGCGGAATTCTAAAGGAGGTTAAAATCAAAACAAAAAACCTCATTGGTAGGAAGGAAAGCAAGGGTGTTCACAGTCTCTAACTTTTTTTAAAATTATTTATTTTGGGGTGTGGGGGGGTTAGGTTTATTTAATTAATTATTATTTTTTTTAATGGAGGTATTGGAGATTGAATCCAGGACCTCCTGCATGCTAAGCACATGCTCTACTATTGAGATTGACCCACTCCCCTGTTTGGGGGTTTTAAAGGCTGCTGGAGAGGCCAGTGTGTCCTAGGCATTCATGGAGACATCATCCATCAGGGTAAAGGTCACCACAAAGGTCAAAGGTCATAGAAGAGGAAGTGAAAGAGGAAGAGAGGTAAGACTTAACTATTTCTATCTGCTTCAGCAAAGTCAGCAAGTAAGACCATCTGGCTTTGGAAGGAGGAGTCCAGGTGGAAATTTTAGAGAGAGGAAGGAGGGAAGGAAGGAAGTGAGCAACCCCAACCAAGAGGTGAGGGCTGAGGGGAATAAGAGTGGAAATGAGACGAGATGCTGGTGCCTGGAATGGGCTCCCAGGAGAGGGCTTGCGAAAGAAAGGCATGACCCAGGAGGGAAGGCAGCCTGGAGCAGCTTCCACACGGGGAGCTCGGGGGCCCCCATTCCCGTGGACACACCAGCTCAGGCACTCCCAGCCTCAACTCTGCCCCAGCTCTTGTTCCACAAAGAACTCTGAAGAGTTTATTCAGCACGGTTCAAGAAACAAGTATCCCCTCTTCTGGGAGAATTATCATGCCATGAGTACAGAAAACAAAGACAATGATTCTTTCCACCTCAGACACACGCACCACCCCAGGGAGGACCTGGACACACTGGCAACCAGGTGAGAGAACTCCTGTGCTCCTCCTGGCCTGTATCAACAAAAGCGATGATTCACAGATTCCTTGTGGAAACTGAGACTCTCAAACAATCTCTCAATGGAGAAGAGGCCCACCCCCCGGCCTCAGTCCCAAGGTGGAAATAGTCCAGAGAACAGAGAATGCCGCTCCAAGGGCTAAGCTGCCATTCCAGGCAGGTGAGCTGCTGCCAACCCATCAGTTGTCCCTGCAAAAGGACACCTGTATGGAGAGACCCTGGGATCGAGCTCTGCTTCTCTCTAGCTCAGCAATGATGGTCAGCTTCACTTAACCATTCAGGGACTCAGTTTCCTCATCCACAAAACAGAGACTGAATCCATTTCAGCTCCTCTCTCACTCTCCCATCCTTCAAACCCACTGCAGGAAGCAAGAAGGCAGCAAGAGAGAGGGTGCAGAGAAGAGGGAACCCTCCAACACTGTTGGTGGGAATGTAGTTTGGTGCAGTCACTATGGAAAACAGTATGGAGATTCCTTTAAAGACTAAAAATTGACTTAACCCTATGATCCAGCTATCCCACTCCTGGGCATATATCCAGAGAAAACTCTTAACTCAAAAAGACACCTGCACCCCAATATTCATAGCAGCACTATTTACAATAGCCAAGACATGGAAGCAACTTACATGTCCATCAACAGATGCTTGGATAAAGAAGATGTGATATAGAATACTACTCAGCCATAGAAAAGAACGAAATAATGCTATTTGCAGCAACATGGATGGACCTAGAGATTATCATACTAAGTGACAAAGATAAATACCGTATGATAACACTTATATGTGTAACCTGAAAAAATGAAGCAAATGAGCTTATTTACAAAACAGAAACTGACTTACAGACATAGAAAACAAACTATGGTTCCCAAAGGGGAGGGATAAATTAGGAGTTTGGGATTAGCAGATACAAATTACTATGTGTAAAATAGATAAAGAACAATGTCCTTCTGTATAGCACAGGAAAACCATATTCAATATTTTGTAATAATCTACAATGAAAAAGATGAAAAAGAATATATATATATATATGTATGTACATACAACTGAATCACTATGCTGTACACTAGAAACTAACACAACATTATAAATCAACTAAATGTCAATTTTAAAAAAGAAATTAGCAAGATCAAAGAAGATCTAACAATTTCTCTGTCTGACTCCCCCTCCCCCCCGCCCCAGTGGTGGGATCGGGGAGGTGAGATGCAAAAGAAAGGGAGTGAGGAGCCTTGGAGATGCCGTATCAGCTTAGACTGATGGGGGCTGGAAGGCATGGTCAACAGGACTAACAGGGCAACAAAGAACAAGTCCTCTAATCAGTGCAGACACTGAGCTCTTTTGATGGATGATGGAAGGGTTGGAATCCCTGGCCATCAACAAGAGGAGGAGCCGGTCAGGCAGATTCTGGAACAAGGCAGCCTCGAACAGAGCCAGAAGGCAGTGCTTTACAGTGTACCACCTTTTCATAAGTTATTCAGAGTGCTTCTATTTTGTTTTCCCAACAGGACCAGGAGCCTGTTATGAAAGAAAAAGGATGTGTATTGTGCTTCTTCCAAATCTGCACAGGACTTGCTGCAGGACGGACACCCTGCTGGTGCTTCCTGTACACACGCGGGATGGTATCAGGAGAGAAGACTCAACAAACATTTGGCTCAGCATTTATGCATCCTCTGCATTGCAAAATTTGTTTCCCCACTCAAGCAATCATCACAAACCCCACTTTCCAGACACCCCAATCAAGGCCCAGAGAACTTTCATGACTGGGCTCGTGGTTCACCACTAGGAAGCAGCAGGACTGGGATTCCAACCCATCTTCCCAGGGGGAGGGTATAGCTCAGGTGGCAGAGCACATGCTTAGTATGCATGAGGTCCTGGGTTCGATCTTAACCCCAGTACCTACTCCAAAAATAAATACATAAACCTATTACCACCCCCCCAAAATTATTTAAAAATTAAAAAAAACCCACAAGCTCATCTTCCCACTCTCACGACTTTTCCCCATGTGAGCAGGGGGCCTGGCCTTGATAGTCACGCTGTACTAGAGTAGACAGGACATATGTGTGGGCACAAACACACCCATAATGTCATGTGTGACCCACACAATAGAGATGGCAGCTTCCGAATAAAATAAAGAGGCAATCAAAACAGAGTGGATTCCTAAGACAGATGGGTATTGAGCAGGATTTTCAAGATCCAGAGGGACATGTTGGGCAAGAGGGGGTGGGATCGGCAGAGGGGTGGTGGGAGGAATGGGGAATAATTGCTGGGAAAGTGCTCGGGAGTAAGATGCGCACCTAAGGAACAGGAAGGAACAGGGAGAGTGAGCCGCAGTCACTGGGGTTGACACAAGATGTTTGCACAGGAGGGAGCTGGTCCCAGGCCTAAGAAAGTGGTTTAGAAATGAGGCAGTGTTTTCTGAGTCCATTACAAGATGCGTAATTAGGACATGACTGCCAGCAATTAATGTGCCTCTCATTCATCTGCTGATCAAGTTGTGACTGGAAAAGCATTTCCACGTAGGGGAGGGATGCCAGGGAACCAACCAGCGGCTTTTACACTACTTCCAGAGGGGAGCTGAGTGTGGGTTCAGGGCTGGCAGACGCCGAGGGGATGCCATCAGAGGCCTGCACAACATGCCCCACCCCTCCTGGAGGCCCATAAAAGCCCAGGGGGCTCCCCAGCTGCCCTGTCTTCTCTCTCCCACTCAACACGAACCCGCATCAGGAGCCCTCCTCGCCAACCTCTCGCAGCCACCATGTCCAGGCAGTCCTCCATCACCTTCCAGGCCAGCAGCCGCAGGAGTTTCAGCACAGCCTCGGCCACCACCCCAGCCACCGGGCATGCCCGCTTCAGCTCTGTCTCTGTGGCCCGCTCCCCGGGGACCAGCGGGGGGCTGGGAAGGACCAGCAGCGCGAGGGCTGGCTTTGGGAGTCGCAGCCTCTATAACCTTGGGGGGACAAAGCGGGTCTCCATTGGTGGGTGTGGCAGCAGCTTCCGAAGTGGCTTTGGTGGCCGAGCAAGCGGCGGGTTCGGGGTGGGCGGTGGATTTGGCTGTGGGGGCCCTGGCTTCTCCGTCTGCCCCTCTGGAGGCATCCAAGGGGTCACTGTCAACCAGAGTCTCCTCATGCCTCTGAACCTGGAAATTGACCCCACCATCCAGCGGGTGCGGAAAGAGGAGCGTGAACAGATCAAGACCCTCAACAACAAGTTCGCCTCCTTCATCGACAAGGTGAGCCGGGGGCTGCATCTGGTCCGTGGGGGTGGGGTGGCTGGAACTCTCGGAGTCCCGATGGCCCATCCTTCCTGTGGGAAAAGTGCATCCGCTCAACAAACATCTCCTGAGGGCAGAGGCATTTGCGGGGGTAGGGGCAGCCTGCCCCACAGGACCTGTGGGAATTTCCCCTCATCCCCCTGGGGACTGTTGCTGGCTGGTTCAGTCAACACCAAGGGAATAGTGGAGTTGTTGAGTCCACTGGGCAAACCAGCCTAACCCAGAGCAGACAGCGCAGACATGCTCATCCAGGGATGGAGGTCCCTATCAAGGCCTCCAAGCCCCGCTGCACTAGCTCTACGGAGCCCCAGAGAACATCAGGGGACCCTCGAGGGCTTTCCCACTTTAACTTGGAGTTGGCAATTACATCATTGGCAGATGAGTATCAGATGAAAAGCGTACTTTTCTTCTCTCCCGTCTTAATTGGGGATGGCTGGCTCTGCCTCCCGGTTTCTCAAGACTTTCTTCTCTTCCTTCCCCATCCAGGTGCGGTTCCTGGAGCAACAGAACAAGGTCTTGGAGACCAAGTGGAGCCTCCTGCAGGAGCAGGCCTCCAAGACCGTGAGGCAGAACCTGGAGCCTTTCTTTGAGGCCTACATCAACGACCTCCGGCGGCAGCTGGACAGCATCACCACTGAGAGGGGCAGGCTCGATGCTGAGCTGAGGAACATGCAGGATGTCGTGGAAGATTTCAAAGTCAGGTGAGTGTGAGTCCCTTCTGGTCACATTCAGTCGTCCCAGGATCCCTCTTCATTAGGACCAGAGGGGTGCAAAGGAGGAAATGCCCACGTCAGGGAGGTTTGGAACTTGCCGTCATTATCCCAAGAGATGAAGACAGCATGGTGTGGGATAACAAGGGGACTCTCATCTCATGCATCACTATTAACAAGAAGCCCATTCTTAACTCTCTGCAGGACCGAGAAGGGATATCTGTGTCATCTAACAAAACATTGCTACTCTGCAAAGCAATGTGTTAGTTTACAGTTAGCATATTATTTAACTCCATTGGCCATGAGTTCTGTTACTGAGATGCTTACATTTCTGAGATGCACCTGAGAGTATAAACCAGGCAGTCTGATCCTCCTCAAGGAGGCAAATTTGACTGGCTGTCATCCAGGCTGCAGTAGGTGAGGTATCCAACAGAAAGGATGGTCCTCGCCGATCCCTTAGCCGGCTCGCCCTGAGTTTCTGAGTTAGAGCAACCCCTGCTTACTGAAAGCACACTATTTAAATGGTTGCCCTGAGGTTTAGCAAAAACATATCAAAATCAACTGGAACAGCGTCCTAAACAGACACAGTCTACCCCCACGGTCCAGCAGGCACCTGAGGCAGCAAAAGTTTTTAAAGATTGGAGGTATGCCTCTCTAAGAAGATGGAGTTGCCCAAGTACTTCTTTCTCTTCCCATCAGCTCCAGGCTCACCTTCTAGTCTCACAAAAGAAAAAAAAAACCAAAACTCTGGCGGAAGAAATTATTCCCCTTTTATAGAGGAAGGAATAGTGGTTAGGTGAATCACCCAAAATCACATGCAGGTCAGCAGAAGAGCTGGGGAGGATTTGAGGTGTCTTAACTCTTGCTAAGGTTCAGTCAAGCCCTTGCTCAACGACACGCCCCCTCTCTGTGCTCACAGGTATGAGGATGAAATTAACAAGCGCACGGCCGCCGAGAATGAGTTTGTGTCTCTGAAGAAGGTGGGTGGAAACGTCTCCCAAAGAAGATTCAAAGCTGAATCTTGAAGTGTGAGATGACCTACCCTTGGGCCACCCAAAAACAGGGACAGCAACCTTGAGAATAGCTGGAAAAATCAAATCTGCCAAAACGCTCCCTTCATATTTATGGCCTCAGTGACCCTGTTTGGGTTTCTGTTAGCCCAGGGAACTCAAGCCAGCAGTTCCCAGCAATCACCCACCCCCAATTCCAAACCCCAGAGTTGCTCAGATCTAATCTAGAAGGGCCGGGAAGGAGCCTGCCCAGCTTCTTTTGGACATGCTGCCTGGGGCCAGGGTCTCAGAGGGGCATCCTGTGCTATCATTCCAGGACGTGGATGCCTCCTACATGAACAAGGTGGAGCTGGAGTCCAAGGTCAACTGTCTGACTGATGAGATCCACTTCTTCCGGATGCTCTTTGAGGCAGTAAGAGCCTACAAGTGTTTTGGAGGGTAGCAAGGAGGGAGTGCTGGTTCCAGAATCCCAGGCTATTGGGTAACATTCCCAAAGGCTCAAGACCCATCTCTCCCTTCCCATCTCAGGAAAGTTCAAAAAGCAAGCTGCCTCTCAGTTCATTAGTCAGGTGCTTCTTGGCCTTTGAAGATGTCTCATTCTGGGCACTGCCACTCTGAGACAGAGACCTGGGTCTGTGGAAGAGGACGAGGGGCAGGGAGTGATGAAGTCACACTGTGAGCTGGGGCAGCAGGGTCCTAAAAATCACCCTGAAGAAAACTTTAATGCTGGCATATGAATCACATATTTCATATTCAACTTGATATAATTTGGATTCACAGAACATTTACCTACCTTCCATACTCAGGGTAAAAACACAGAGGGGAGCTTTGAGAAGGGACGCTGGGACACACTCCCATCACACTGATCTATGACTCAGAGTCTCCTCAGGGTTTGGCATGGGAACCCCTAAATGGCTGGCATGAGAACTAGAAGAATCCCTGCCAGGGATGCCAAGGAAGGGATTCCTGGCTTAGATGGGTGGTCAACTGCCTGATTTCAGGACCCCTTCTTTTTTATGCTGGGGTGACACTGAGTTTACTGGCTCTGCAGGAGCTGTCCCAGATCCAGACCCACATCAGCGATACATCTGTGGTCCTGTCCATGGACAACAACCGCAGCCTGGACCTGGACAGCATCATCGCCGAGGTCAAAGCGCAGTACGAGGACATCGCCAACCGCAGCCGGGCAGAGGCTGAGTCTTGGTACCAAACCAAGGTGAGTATGAGCACCTCCGTGAGAGGCTCCAAGGCTAGTTCTCTGAAGCCCCAGATCATCATCTAACCACTAGCCATAAGCCCCGGGAAGCGTGACCATTTCCGTTTCTTTCAACTTGGCAGAAGAGTCTTTGATGCTATGAAAACTTAGCTTGAAATGCGCATGGAAACCTGGATACACATGCACACTGATATGTGGTCAGTCCATGCTGGGTGCTCAAATGGACACCACCCCCTTACTAAGTGGTTGGGGGCTGGGTGAGACTCTGAAACAACCAAGAAACAGTCATAAAGCTGTTTCTAACGGGCGTGTTTATTCAGTATATATTTACAGAACTCTTGCAACATGCTAAGCAGGGTTCCAGAGTTCTGAATGAATAAACTGCCAAAGAAACCCAAGGTCTGGGAGGCCATGAAGTGAATGAACAGTCACAGACGGGAAAAAGACAGCATTAATAAAACGCTTCCAAGAAAGGGTGGACTTTCAGTCTGTCTTGGAAGCAGCAAGGGACGAAAGATTGTCAAGGACTAGTGAGAGGTTTAAGGCTGAGCAAGCAGCCCTGTGGGGCTGGAAGGTAGACATGAGCACTTTGCTGAGCAAGAGAATTTGTAGTGAGAAGAGGGAGGTTGGGATGCCCATAGAGAGCCACTGTCCAGAGGTGCAAATGGCCAGAAGGTTTAGACTTTGGAGGGGTGGAGTAGCCTGGATGGTCTAACCCATGAGATCAGTTCTCTGCCAAATGTAGATGATTTTCCAGGGCAGCTGCTCGCCTACAAGCTGGCTCCCTTCCTTGCCTTGCTCTGGGCACTGCCTTAGTCCCTACCACTGCAACCTCCTAGAAAGGAAGCAGGGTGTCAGGAGCCAGGGGTGCACAGGGCAGAGGCAGAGGCAGAGGCAGCCCCTTGACAGTGAGTGGAGGTGGGATGCGCTTTACCACAGGGTAAATGATTCCTTTTGTTGACGAGGCCCTTGTTCCCTTTAACTGTGCATATCTAGAAACTAAGAAGCTGAGCTATTCAGCACTTTCAAAACTGGACAGATCTTCACTCAGGCAGGGGTTCCTCTTCCTTTGAGAAAGGTGGTTTTCTCCAGTCTGAGGAGACAGGATGCATTTATTCCTCCTGAATGAGTATGTCCTGGATCCGCACCATTAGACAGAGAGCCACTGAGATGGAGGATTCTGTTACAAAGTCTTCAGGACGAGGTCCTCTATAGCCTGGGCTCCATCCAACACCATCACCCTCCATCTCCCTATTTCCCCAGTACTGGCGCCTGGGGGAAAATTCTTGGTCGCAACTGGTCTGGATGTACACCTCATGACCAAGAACTCCCCAAGGACAGTTACCAAGCCACCCCTGATCCCTAGAGCTTTCCACACTCCTTCCTGTCCCGGGGGCTTCACACACAGGCCATTTCCCTTGTCTGGAATAGTCTCCCCTAAGCCAATCACTTAGGTCACTCCTTCAGCACACGGCTCGAGCATCTCCAACCCTGAAAGGACTTCCCTGACCATTGCCCCCTACTTCCATATCTAGGTCAGATTCCTTTATCACACTCTCATAGGCCCCAGCTAACTTCCTAAGGGACACTTGTCTCAGTCTGGAACTATAAATTCGATAATATGCTGACTTGACTATTGTTTATCTCTCCCAATAAACTATAAAACAAGAAAAGCAGGGGTCTGATTATGCTCTTGTGATATTCCCAGAGCCTGGGACATGGCTGGCAAGTAGATGGACTCAAGAAATGAGCGAGGGGAGGGGATAGCTCAGTGGTAGAGCGCGTGCTTAACATGCATGAAGTGCTGGGTTCAATCCCCAGTACCTACATTTAAAATAATAAATACTCCCCTGCCCCTGAAAAAAAGAAAAGAAAAGAAATGAGCAAGGGAATGTGTGGATGATGAGTGAATGGATGGCCCGCTCGGGGCACTGAGGGCCAGGCTGTGCACACAGGAAGTGCCCACGTCAGCACTGTACGGGGTGACTGACTCTGTTCTGGTTCTGGTTCTGTCAGTACGAGGAGCTGCAGGTCACAGCGGGCCGGCACGACGATGATCTCCGCAACACCAAGCATGAGATCTCCGAGATGAACCGGATGATCCAGAGGCTGAGAGCCGAGATCGACAGCGTCAAGAAGCAGGTAAATTCTGGCAGGACCGAGCGCTCCCCACACACTCATTTTTTCCAGGTCAATTTGCCACCCTTACAGGACTCCTACCCAAGAAGCACCACACCTCCAGGGGCTATCAGTAAGGCTCATGGCTTTCTCCTTTCTTTACAGTGCTCCAGCCTGCAAACAGCCATCGCCGATGCAGAGCAGCGCGGAGAACTGGCCCTCAAGGATGCTCGGGCCAAGCTGATGGACCTGGAGGAGGCCCTGCAGAAGGCCAAACAGGACATGGCGAGGCTGCTGAGGGAGTACCAGGAGCTGATGAACGTCAAGCTGGCCCTGGACGTGGAGATCGCCACCTACTGCAAACTACTGGAGGGCGAGGAGTGCAGGTGAGGGCAGACGCACCAACTCCACCCCCGCTGTCTCGGCATTCCGAGGTTACTGCAGGCCCCTCCTTGCCTGGAAAAAGGAGGAAAATGTAGGTGGAATTGGGCTGTGAGAAAGAATACAGGTGCAATTTCTTTCCAGGTAGTAAATCATTATCAAATTCCCATATTTGAGGTACAAACTACTTTTAGCACCACATAGAAATCTAGACCCTGATCTGATCTAAACAATCAAATTCTATCAAAGGAGAAATCTGGTCACATGGCAGGTCTGGATGTATGGTATGAAAGACTGGACTGAAGATAAACTAGGCTTTGGGCTTTGAGGTCTACCACTAACCAGCCACGTAAGCTTAGGAAAGTCAGTGTCTCCTCTCTGGCCTTCAATTTCTTCAGTGATGGAATAGAGAGGCCAGGTCACATGATCCCCAAAGCTCAATGAGAACCTTGTGCTCTGCCAATTACCAGCTGTGTGACCAAGGACAAATTACTTGACCTCTCCATTCCTCACCTGTAAAGTGGGGATGACCATCGTTTCTATCTCATGTCACTAAGAAGGTTAAAGTGAGGGACTACACATGAAGCTCTGAGAAAATGCACGGGACACAACAAATGGTCAATAAATGTTAGCTATCTTTCGATTTTGTGGCCAAAGACGTGGGCTTTGGAGTCCAGTGCATTTGACTTCAAATCCAGCTTTGTGATCACGAGCAAGTTAATTAATCTCTGACCTCCAATTTCTCCATCTGTAAAACCAAGATAATAATACCTCCTTAATGGTGTTGTTGAG